AAAAAGAGGTAAGGAAAACTAGAAGAGGAGAACTTCAGCTCCAAGTGAGAAGAGTAGAAAAGGTAAGCAGGTGGGGAATTTCTTAAACTGTGATGGGGGAAAAAGGAAAAGGTTGTGTGTAACTAAGAGAAAGCAAGCCAAAGAAGGCCAAAAAATCACACCTTTTCCCAGTTTTGCACTGGAAGGATTGATTATATTCTGAGTAGAAAGAGAAGAGCGGGAAGAGGTTAAGATGGGAACCCAAAGTTGTATAGGAGTTGCTGGGATTGAAGATGCATAGTTTGTTGTGATGAGGAAGGTGGGACTAAAATCTGTCAGTTGGATGAATGACAGAAACAGGGGTAGTGTGATTTCTTGTCTATCTGGGGAAGGTCTCAACCTGACTTTGAAAGCATGGTCTCTGATATCATAGAGAGAAGCAAAGAAATCAGTGAGAAAGTGATTGAAGAAAGGAATGAAAGCAAGAGAAAAATCCCTGAGGGGAGAGGATTGAGAGCTGTGAGAGTATCAGCTCTGATGATCTCTGAGGAAGTGAGAGATAGGCCAGATGGTGTATCGCAAAACAACAGTGTAAGAGTTTGTTCTAGATGAGGCCAGTATTGAGAATGCATCCTTTACAAGTATTTTGCAAATGTTGCCAGACTTAGTCTAGTCACCATAACTGGGACCAGGAGCTGCCCTGAGCTCAGTAACAGCAGAGTGAAAGCTCGGGAAGCTGGCTTTTCTCTTGTCTCTAATTGCTGCCAACCTGAAATTAAGCTCTTGCAGTAAGTGGAACTGTGTGGTTGTTAGACTGGTTTGCTATTGTGGAATTTGATACCAGAAGGTATGTATGTTTTGAAATAATATTGTTGGACCAGAGGGAGAAATCTGTGCTTGTGTTGTGAGCGGTGTCTTGATGTTTAGTTATTAACAGTGTTCTGTGGTCACTTTTTTTTTATGGTGTCCCTCACTGAACGTGCATATTCATGAATTACAGTGCATCATTTTAAGAAAACCAAGCAAAAAACAAAAAATAATAAAAAAAAAAATTTAAACTCCTACTGGGATACACCAAGGCCAGACCAGTGGCACCGAAAATCAGACAGGCAGAGCCAAGAAATGTGCTTCTTGTGCCACAGCTGCTATAGGATCAAAGAGGTAGGAAGATGAGAAAGTTTATTCTGCAAAGCTCTGTATGGTGGCATTCTGCCTGGCCTCTAGGCAGGACACTTCTGTCGACAAAGGTTTACTTAATCAGTCCTGCGCTATTCACATGTGGTCACAAGATTTGATGTGAACACATCAAATAATACAGTAACAAATGCAAACAGTAGTTAGACTTTCTCTGAATATTTCAATGAATACAGTGAATTTCAGTGTGTACAATATGTACAATTAAAATAATGAATTCAAAAGAAATGAGGCCTCTCCCACCCCCCCTGTGCAAATCATTGTGCAGCAGAAACAGATGATTAAAACTCTGGATCAACTGTGTAAAATTAGAAGGACAGCTAGTTCTGTCATGGTGTTGGGTGCTATAGGGTTCAGCCATCAGTGAGAGCAAACCTCTTTGCCCTAGCCTGTACTACTGCTTTTTCAGCACCACAAACACCACTGATGGAAATAGGAGCAGCCAGTCAGTGCAGAATCAGCATTGTGATAGACTCCAGAGAGTGTATATTTGTAGCATGCAAGGAAGAGGAGATTTTTGCCCTTGGCCTGGAAATTACATGTTTATGCATAGAATTGTATGCAGCTTATTTTTTTGCTCATCATTACAGGTCCTCTCTGATGTTAGTAATTATAGCCAAGGTTGTAGATTTTTTTTGTAGAATTATGTTCCACTGTCTTTTAATCTTACTTGATTTTGTATAAAGTTTATGTAAGAGCCAAGGGGCTGAACACAATCATGCAACCATAGTGGGAATGTTTGTAAACTGGAACGAGATATTTAATAATGGTTTTCTGATTTGGAATATTCTTCTTGTGTTTTGTTGCCTAGAAATACTTCACGTTGACTTGAATGAATTTGTAGTTTGTTTTCATGTATAGATTGTAAATGTGCTATTTTTGAGGAAGCCTGAAGAAAAACCACTTGGATACGTAAAAAACTGGAGTTAGGAGCATGCTGTGGGAGCTCATTAATGATTCAGTATGGTTGGTTTCAGTTTCCCCTCCTTCCCTTCACAAGGCAAAATCCAATCAATACTTTTCTTTCAAGGTCACAATTGCTGTTTCGTCTCTGTCCTTCTGACAACCCTTGACCATCATAGGAGTGTTTTTGAGGATTTAATTACTATTTTAATCAAGGTTATCATCAATAACTCTTAGCACAGTTGTACTTGGACAGAAAATCATTATTATAGGAGAGGGCTCTGCCTTGATTCGAGTATAGGGGTGCTGTGCTCATGAAGGGCTTCGTGTCAGGCATGAAAGGGGCTTTCCCTCTGCCATCCTATCCCCAATAATCCTGTGGTTGTATTAGGGACAGGAAAGCTGTGAAGCAGTGTTATATCTCAGTTATTTGATTTTGCAAGATTTCTAAAATAGAGTTGAGTTGGGGAAAATCAAGTTTCTGTCTTTGCAAGGGAAAGGTTCAGTTATCATAATAATTTCAGGAGCAAGCTTCTGGGGGTCAGCTTCATTGTAGAATATTATGAACATATTTAATCATGCCTGTTGAACATGATGGGTCTAAACTTGCTCTTGGTCATAATCCCCAATCAGTCATAGAAGGTCCACGGTTCACATAGCCCATTCTCCTGACATAATATTTAATATTGCCCATATCAGTTTTTTATATATTCTGTTGATTTTATGGTGTTCATAAAATGCTAGTAATAGAAAATCTATTTCTATTGCTGTTTTTTAACATTAATATAATTTCTGAGGAAAAAGCTCTTCAGTGACTCGTGAAATATGTTGGAGTTTATGTGTATGTATATATAAAATGTGCAGTTACACAAATTTTCAAGCAGTATAATTTAAGTAGATGATTTAAGTTGAGCCTTGGCACTTTGGCTGGTGTTTGCTTTTATATATATATAATTTTTTTACATGTTTGTCCCTGTAATTGAATTCATAACATACAACCAGGTCTGTTGGCCATAGATCTTCTGCCTTGGCATGTGAAGTTCATTTTTTTCATGTTGCAAAGAATACTTAGCACTGAATTTGTAAATATTTTGTTTATGTTTTTTGTGATGCCTCATGCTGAGGTACCGTGGGGTAGAACAGGAGGAGATGTGGAAACCTGTTGTTTAGGTGAATTGCCTTACAGGAAGCAGCAAGGGAACACCAGAGTCTCTGACATAACAGAGAACAACTTAGAAGCACAAATTGGTTACAGGTTAATGGGAGTGAGGAGTAGGGCCGGGTGCTGAAAAGCTGTTTTGATATCTTCTAAAAATTCTTTAACCCAGTGAATTCCTGACCTGGCTCTTAATGAATCAGACTTTTGCCTCTGTATGATCCCCAACAAAAGCAAAAGTCCCAGACATAACCCATAAGTGCCAAACAAAAAATTTCCTGCATGCAGGATGACTAAGAGTATGACTCTTGACTTCTGTGCAAACTACCTGTACATCAAGTTTATCTTTGCAGGCCAAGAATATAAACCAAGAAGAATTTGGCCTGTGACTGAAGAATATCTCCTCACTGCGTAACATAAAGCATATTACAATTTTCCATAAATATTTTTAAGTGATACATATTTTTATAGCTCTAAAATACATGCACAAGTTGTGTTCCTATGGACTCCAGTCCAGAACATATCAATAATTACAGCCTTTCTCATGTTATAGATGCCTAAGGGTGAAAAATGTGAACCAAGAACAATCTAAAAGTATCACAATGGATGTTTTCTCTTCCGCAAAGTAGGATGAAAAATAAGGCTTGAATTGATGAAGAAATATAAATATATAAAAAAGAGTAGAATTGGCAATAGCAAACCAAACCCTTGACAACTGCATTAATGGTAATGCATTCCATTCCAGTTCATGGTGAAGTAAAAGGAGTTGGTCTGGTAGATCAAATATGGCTTTCATTGCAAGACTGCGACAATGAAGGTGAGATAATAAAGCTATTCAGACTAACCTGTAGAGAGTGTTGTAATTAAATATACCTAATGAATTTAGAGAATTATTTATTTTTAGAACAGATGTAATTGTAAAATACTACATTTGTTTTCAGTTATTTTTCCAGGATGTATGTATCCTCTTATGTATATGTATGTATACATGAATGCATACATTTTTTTAAAAAAAATTATATATGCAGTCAAAATTGTGAACAATTAATGATGCACATTAGGTTCCTGTATGAGTCTGGGAAATTCTTTTTGTCTAAATGTCAGGGCTTTGAGCAGGGCTTAAAAGGGATTTTATGAAATTTTTGAAAAATCAGAGTGGCCTAAATAATCGTGTGAGAATGTAACTTGCTGTCCCGTTTTGCTCATTGCAAATATGTTGTGAAGCAATTGATATGAATCCATTTGGTTTAAGCAAACCCAGCTGTGTGCTTAGGGAGAAGTCCCAAATCTTATGTTTAAACTACTGATCTTAGGTGTGTGTTCATTTTGGGTGTTATGGGGTTTTTTAAAGTTTTTTAACATGTTTTCAATCGACATCTTATTTTCCAGTCCAGGCAACAGTAAAATCACAAAAGCTCTTTAGTGTCTTTAATACTGTTTTTCAGACAAACATTGCTTTGCGTTCCATCAGTAGTAATTCATGGCAACAAGCCTAAATAATTATAATTGACCAAAAGCCAGGTTTTTGGGCCCTACGCTAACAAATATTGGTACAATTATTTTGAAAATTGTAAAAGCAGTTGCAATAATAGCATGCATTTCACCTAACTGACTCACCTCTTCCAATTAACTTCAGGTAATCAGAGAGAACTCAGCTCTGTATTATCTCTTAAGTGGTCCCCCTGGAGAGTAGGCACAGTGTGTGATATGCATGTACTATATATTTTCTCTCAATTCTGGGGCAAATCACAGCAGTGTTTGAGGCTACTGGTATGCCATCAAAGCAGCGGGGGCTGGGGCACATTCTCTGACCCTTAGGGAAAGGCATAGATTGTGACCATAGGCTTAAGTCTCTCTTCTCCCTCATTTCTCAAATAAGATAGCCTCATACATACTTGAAAATAATTCCTGATGCATGTTCTTTGAGACATACTGGAACATTGTCTAGGAAATTGCTATTTGTCTTAGGCCAAAATGGCAGCTTACTTTAATGTAGATTAAGCAATTGTGGATGAAAAAAGAAGATACACCCTTGCTTATGCCTGGGTTCTGATGTCTTTTTATTTACTGACACAAATGTGTCTTTGAGCCTCTTTGCCTTCAAGTCTTTATGTTAGCACACAAGTCTGGAAGCAAGTAGGCTTGCACATTCCATTCACACCAAGGAGGTTTTGGCTTGTTATCTACTGCTCAGATATTTTTGTGTGTCTGTTCCACATCTGAATTCACATGATTACTCTGATATGGTAGAGTTAATCAAGCTCTAGTTTTCAGCAGCCTTGCTACGTGTAAGTCTTGAGTTTAGTTTCTGGGAGGAGGTTGGGGAGGTGGGGATGAGATGGGAACACCATCTCACAAAAGGAAGGCAGGGATAAGCACTGTTGCTGGCTCTTTCACAGAAGCAGTAGCTGAAGTGGAGAGCATCACCTGGGCCAGTGCTGGGAGAATGGCCAAAGCATTGTCAAGTTCCATGAACTCCTGACCTGTAATTGTTGCAGGCTGGAACCTGTTTGGTTTGTGGAGCCCAAAAGTAGGCATTCTGTTTACCTGACCAGAGAAGAGTCAGGTGTATGGGAGTGTCTATTGATTGGAAAAGCAAGGGTATTTGACTATAAAGACTGAAGACTCTGCTTGTCTTAAAAATTTCTTTAGAGTGCATCGTCACCAATGAAATCACTTATTTCAAATTCATTTCAAGCTTTTGTTAACCTTAATACAGGTACAAGGGCATTCTTTCTGTAGAAAGAAGGAAATTCAGAAGGCTCATCTGGCAATACTATAGAGATAATTGAGCAATAGCACTGTTCCTTTCCTGGTTCTGTCCCTACAAAGTTATATGATAATAATATGTTTGATAGTGGTTTTCTTTGCTTGGGTAACAGGACAGTAACTTGTTTCTCTTGCACAGAGAGGGAAAGGATATTTCTTTTTCTGTTAAAGCAGCTTGGAAATCTCTGTTCTTACTGCATCAGTGGTAGCAGACAGTGTTTGAACAGAAACTCAAATTCATAGAGCTTACATGGCATACTGCATGCTAAATGTGGTTGAGAAATCCAGGAGCTTTGCTTGCAGGAACACAGTTTCAAATAAGGAAACAGTCTATTCACTGACTTGCTAATAACGTGCTCTGGCAGTTATGGCAGCTAAATATAGTATCCATTATAGGTTCATGTCTCATTTATCTGATGTTAATTAATTTTATAATTACATAGAATCACTTAGTAAAATTGTTTACTTTCACCTATAAAGTGCCTGGGTCTACAGATGGGGCTTTTTGGATGTAATTTAGGTGGAATTAACCTTTTAAATATAGTATGTGATTTGTCATCAAAAGGGTGTTGTAAGAGAGAGCATTCATAATTATATAAAGTGGGAACTTTCATTTTCCAAAGAGCTTTTTTCTTCTCCATTCCTTTGTGTATCCTGTGGAGAATGCGCCTTTGAATCTATTTTGTGCCCACGTAAAACTGAGAACAGAGTGAAGCAAACCAAGGCCAGACTGGAGAAAGTGCACATGGTTTTCACTTTAGCTCCAAGCAACTGTGATTTAGAACCCTCAAATTGCTTTATTTAGTATTGTTTCATGCACGCTTTTTCCATACAATATTCTCCATCTTTTGCTTTTGAGAGGGATTCGAACTTCCTGCACCATCTAGGGAGAAAGAAAAGTCCCTGGAGCCTTGGTTGGTGGGGCCACACCTTGAGTGCTGTGTCCAGTTCTGGGCCCCTCAGTTCGGGAAATATATTGAGATGCTGGAGCGGGTCCAGAGAAGAGCAACGAGGCTGGTGAAGGGACTCGAACACAAGTCCTATGAGGAGAGGCTGAGGGAGCTGGGGTTGTTCATCCTGGAGAAGAGAAGGCTCAGGGGTGACCTCATCACTCTCTACAACTCCCTGAAAGGAGGTTGCAGCCAGATGGAGGTCGGTCTCTTCTCCCAGGCAACCAGCAGTAGGACAAGAGGGCATGGTCTTAAGCTGTGCCAGGGGAGGTCTAGGTTGGGTATTAGGAAGAAATTTTTTACAGAGAGGGTAATCAGGCATTAAAATAGGCTGCCCAGGGAAGTAGTGGATTCTCCATCTCTGGAGGTTTTTAAGAAGAGACTGGATGTGGCATTTAGTGCCACAGTCTAATAACCATGGCGATGTTGGATCAAGGGTTGGACTTGATGATCTCAGAGGTCTTTTCCAACCTGGTTGATTCTGTGATTCTGTGAAATAGGTGCAGGACCTGACTGTATATTCTTCAAGCTGCCTACAAAATATGTGCAAAACTTTGAGGTGATTTTTCAGTAATGTAAATCCAGACCATGAGGTTCATGAGGTCATGTGCCTCATCCTTCACTTACCTCAAAGCCTGTGTGCTGCTGTGGAGGAGGATGAGTGTAGTGGAAGGCAGCTGTAAGGTTATCTCTTCCCTGTTCTGTGTTGTTGGATTTGTGTAAGAGATGACTAGCAGCATTTTTGTGGTATTCTCAATTTTTTCCTGTGAAACACCACTAGTGACTGGCTGTCAACTGGATGTAACTCCGTTTACCACCACTCTCTGGGCGCAACCATTCAGCCAGTTTTTAACCCCATGAACAGTGCACTCATCCAAGCCACGAGCAGCCAGTTTGTCAAGGAGAATACTGTGGGAGATGGTGTTAAAGACTTTACTAAAGCCCAGGTAGACAATATCCACAGCCCTTCCCTCATCCACCAAGTGCATCACCGTGTCATATAGCAGCAGATCAGGTTTATCAAGCAGAACCTGCACGTCATATACCTGTGCTGACTCAGCCTGACTCCCCACGGGACGTATGTCTTAATTTTTCTATCAGGAGAGAATTTTGGGGTGAAATACTCGAGCCAAGATTGTATAAAAATGTGGCACTGATCTCTCTGCTCCTGGATTGTAAAGTCTGCAGAGGAGAGAGGAAGAAGAGATGTACAGAAATGTCTTCATGGAGCGTAACGTTAATGGGACTAGCTGGAATTTGGCTCTTGGTTGCTTGCTGTCATTCCATTATCTTCATCATTGACCATGTACAGATCAATTTTTTTAAGGAAGATCTTTAATTGCCACATGGAAGTGCTTGATTAGTAGTGACTTTAAAGGAAGGCGGTTGAGATCAATGAAGTAAAAAAATCCCACACTTGTTTTACTAGAGGCACTGAGCGATTATGAGATGCATCCTATAAGAAGTATTCAGATTTCACAGACTCAAGATAAAGTGCCATAGGAAGGAGGCTGGAGAATTGCCTAGCAGCAACAATGAGAACTGTAGCTGATCAAAGGTGTTAATATTATTGTAAGGCAACAGTAAGCAAAATAATCCCATTATAATTGAGTATATGTGAATATATATGATGAATTTCATAACTCATATCGTACTGTAATGAGCGACATTATTTCCCTAATTTGTATATAAAAAGTGGCTTGCCAGGTCCTGTCAAAAGGTCATGTATTGAAAATATAGAATTTTTATTGATCCTTGGAATTATGCAAGCTAACATGATGTTAGAGTTGTCTTCAATATTTGGGTAGAGACAGAATGGTTTCAAAGTTGACAGTGGTTCTGTTTTTCAAAGGGACAAGACGTAATTATTCTATCCTTTCATGTGTTCTGATTTTCTTTCTTGTGGCTGTAAAGTGACACTTGTCAAAACTGAATCTATTTAGTAGGGTTTCTGTATTTTACATGCATACGAATGAGTATATTAAACCCAAATCCTAGGGATGTCATAAGGTAGAGTCTTCTTTCCTAACAGCTTTGACTTTTCAAGTACTTGCATAAAGCTTTGAGAAAGCATCCGTTGATCTATTGGTTGATCTCT